TAGCAAACTCTACACAGGACTTGTATGCTAAAAATTATACAACATATCGAAAGAAATCAATGAAGACCTTAAAAAAAGGGAGAGATTTACCATGTTCATGGATTGGAAGATTCAACACAGTAAAAATGTCAGTTCTCCCCAGATTGATCTACAGATCTAATACAGCTCCTATCAAAAGGGTTTTGTAAACATAGACTGGGAAAAAATATTTCCAAGTCACATATCCAACAAAGGACTGGTATATAGGATATATAAAAAGTCCTCAAAACCCAACTGTAAAAAAAAAAAAGAAAAACAAAACAAAAGTCCAATTAGCAAAAGACAGGAAGAGACATCTCACTGAAAAGAATATACAAATGAAAAAAAAAAAAAAAAGAATATACAAATGACAAGTGATGATGAATGACTAACATCACTAGCTATTAGGAAAATACACATTAAAACCACAGTGAGGTACCACTACATACCTTTCAGAATGGCAGAAAGAAAAATCAATGACATCATGCTGGTGAAGTTATGGGTAACTCAGTTACCTATCCACTGCTGTTAAGAATTTAAATGGTACAGCCACTGCAGACAACAGGTCAACAGTTTCTTATAAAACTAACATGCAATTATCATACAACTCAACAGTTGCACTCTGAGGCATTTATCCCAGAAAACTAAAAACTTATTTTCAACAAAAATCCATACCCAAATGTTTACAGCAGCTTTATTTGTGACACTCCAAAACTGAAAACAACTCACTTGCTTTTTAGTGAGCACATGATTAAGCCAACCATACTGCATCCACAGCATGGACTGGGACTCAGGGAGAATGCCCTGTTCATACACAAAGAGGTCTGCAGAATCTCAGGGTAATTATGCTGAGTGGGGAAAAAAATCCAAGTTCAGAAAGTTACATACTATATAATCTATCAACCTCAAAGGGAAACTGCCAGTTATTTTACCAGCAAAAAATGGGTTTATTTGGGAATAGCAGAGAATCACAGTCCAGGGCAAGCAACCTACAACAAAACCAAAGGCTAGTCTGGGAAAAGAAAGAGGAAAGAGGAAGTTGGGAGGAAAACAGAAAGTCCATTGGGGTAAAACTGGGAGGTGGAAGTGTACTGGCTTCTCATTGGCTAGGCTGTTGCTGGGGGAGGTGGAAGCTTGCCTCCCGCTGGGATAAAGTAGTAGCTACAGTGGTACTGGTTTACTTTCAAAGTCCCTCTCTTTTTGCTGTGTCTTCACCTGTAGAGACTCCCTATTCCATTTTAGTGAGGGTCCCCTTTATTAATATGCACAGATTCCACTTGTTGACACTTTTGAAAAGATAAAATTTTAGAAGTGGAGAGCAGATCAGTGGTTTGAATAGGGAGCGGGAGGGAGATGGGGTCCTCCTGGTGATCGAAATACTGTCTTGACTGTGGCAGTGGGAAGGAGTCTAGGAGTCTACATGTGACACAGCCTTGTGACGTCCGTGTAAGCGAAACTGGAGAAATCTAAGATGGCCATTCATCCGTGTTGGTGTCATGGCTGTGATATCATGCGGTTGTGTTTTGAAGATGTTACCTTTGGGGGAAACTGGGCAAAGTGTACAAGGAATCTCTGTTTTACATCTTACAACTGCTTTTGAATCTATAATTATCTCAAAATAAGTTTGATTTTAAAAACTCACATAACATGGAAAGTACACTCATTTGGAAACAACTTTCTCCACTCTCACACTTTATTTAAAAATTTGGGCGAGTATCTTCAGCATAAGCATTTAAGCTGTTCAAGTTTTGAATCGAGGTAAAACACCATCCATGAAGGACCATTCCGCACCCAGAATCCATCGGCACACCGCTGGGACCACCATATCTTGAAGAAACCCTTCAGTGATCTCCACCCAGGGTCTTCCTTTAAAAATGATCTTTAAAGGTTTGTTTAAAAAAAATTTTTTTTAAATAAAGGTTTGTTTAAAATAACATCTGACACACAATTATGACTAAATCTTTGTTCCAATTTTTTATCTCCTTTTTTCTTTTTCTTTTTTAAAAAAATTTTTTTATATCTCCTTTTTTCTTAAGCAAGTACAGACTCCCATTAGCATCCCAAAGTAGCATTAATCAAGGCTTTTTCAGGTCACTGTGTCTTCCCCAAACAATATTTTGTTCAAAATTAAGCAACTGAAAGCAGTCCCTTTGCCAAGAATGGAGCCCAGGAACACCTTCTTCGCTGAGGATATTGGGGAAGAAATCTCACCTCAGATGATGAGATGCTCACAGTCCATCCTGCTTGTTTGGTTTTTACTCGGCTTTTATCTGCTCCTCTCAAGAGTATGTCAGCTGTTTGAGGGCAGGAGCCAGTCTGTCCATTCCTGAATCCCTGGAACAGGCTGGGGCCAGCACACACCAGTGGAAGAAGAGACAAGTGTGTGGGATGGGTGACCTCTCTGCCTTGCCCCTGTCCTGTCCAGCAGGTTCTCCACAGGGCGGCCCACTCCGCCCACCCCGCCCTGCAATGTGCATCCTGGACAGGAGCCTCTGAGCCTTCAGATTCCAGACACACCCTCCCACCCACATCTTTACTCATGTCTACCCCATGCTGCTTTCCCCAAGTTCACGGCTGCTGAAAGCCCCCACACACTAATGCTGCACCACAGCAGGGAACCGAGTAAGCAAATCTGAGTCTAGACTCTCAGGCTGCCTCAAAAAGGATGCTGTGACTTCATCCTTATCCATATGGGCGGCCCATCAGGGAGTCTGCACTGGAATGTGAACCTGTTTCATTAGAGGAAGAAAGTCTCTGGTCCCTGTGGTCTGCGCTCCAGTTGGTCCCCACCAGAGAGAAGCCCCTTGGGGTTGCCTCCTCCTGATCTGTTCTGCCTCTCCCACAGTGGAGGGAAGCCAGCCTTGGAGGCTCATTCCATCACAAAGTCAAGACGAGTATCTGCAGCCCCAGCTGGCTAGCCCATCTCACAAAGAACTCTGGGGTCCAACTCTTTTCTTGTTACTCAGACCTGTTCTGTCTGCTAAAAAAGAGAAAGGATCTGAGTTCTCACTTTTCTGTTTGTTCATAGTGAGGTGGACAGTTTTTTGTATGTGCATGGTGTAGAGTAGTATCTAGTATGTATATGAGAGAGAGAGGTGGCCATCTAGTGTTACTGTGCATGGGCTGACGTTCACCTGTGTGTGTGTGTGTGTGTGTGTGTGTGTGAAATACCAGATGGTACCTAGTGTGTGTTCATGTTGTGTTATGTAAGACCGTGTGGGTTTTGATATGTGTGGTGCAAGATGGGTCTCTGTCTCCTGTGTATGCGTAGCAGGGTGAAATGGGAAAACAGGCATCTAATTCTTTGGTGTGTAGTTTGTGAAGTGCTCCTACGGGGAGCCTGCTTCCTCCTCTCTCTCTGCCTGCCTCTCTGCCTACTTGTGATCTCTGTCTGTCAAATAAATAAATAAAATCTTCAAAAAAAAAAAAAAGGATTTTTTTTATAAAGTCAACTACAAATACACTTTAGCGTCCTTTACACTCATCTGTCTTTTGGGTACACAGCAATACCACAGAGAGACGTTTGGAAAGGGTCTGTGACCTACATATCTGAAAGCACTGGGTGAGGTCCACAGGCGCACATGTAATGTGTATATGGGTAGACGAGATACACAGATGTTGTTACCTATCTGGTTCTGGGGCAAATAGGGCCAGAAATTGATAATACAATAAAAACAAGTTGCCCTTTTCTTTAATGCAGGAGCTGTGGTGGAGGGCACATCATGTCTAACCTATGAGAAAGTTCTGCCACCAAGGTCAAGGCCATGAGTGACCTGAGCAAAAACACCTGGAACAGCCCTCTGCACTGAGGTCAAGGGGGCACCCTGCCACAGCTGGGGTCTGCCCAAGTCCTACACCAGTGAGGGTTCCCTTAGTGTTTGTGTACCAGCAGAGCCAGACCCAAACGCAAGACTCCCCTGTGAAATGGGTACTACTTACCTGGTAGAAGTTAAGGACTTTTCAGATCCTGACCACATGAGCTCCAAATCATTCATTCCCAACACTGGACACCTTACCCCACAGTAAACTCCTCTCAGCTGCCTGATTAAATGGGCTGTGGAAAAGCCAGTTCGGATGCCACGCAAGCCCACCCCCAGAGGCCCTGAGCTCCTGGGCGGGCGGGGGACACCAACACCCCCCACAGCCATGCAGTCACAGCAAGGACACAATTTCCATCTCAGCAAGGAGACCCGCTGACAGTCCATAATTAGGGCACCAACCAACAACTCCAGAAGGAACTGAGCTGGGCTCACTCAGCCTTCAACTTAACTAAAACCAAGGCTTTCAAGTGCTTATCCACTGCTTCTCATCTAGCCTCCCACCCCCTTTTGCAAAAGAATTCATTTTATCAACGAAATTTGTGCCTGGCCTATGGCTGGGAAGTGGCCCCACTACAACATGAGGAGTCAGAGAGGCAGAACATGGCCGTCAGTTCAGCAAGAGCCCAAGCCCACTGCAGAGCTTTATGCAGCACCCCAGCCTGGTCCTCAAAAGGTCACAGACCTTCCTTACGGTCTAGGGGAGGGTTCCCGACAAGGGGAGAGAGATCCAGGTCCCATCAGTAAGGGCATCAGGCCACCTCCCATCCCACATTTGTACTGTCCATCAAAGGGTCTGGGCCGGAGCTCACTGAAGACCAAGCAGCAGCCACAACACCCAAGCTGCCTGTGTCCGGGATAAACTGCTCCCTTTGGGGCTCCCCAGTCAGACACCTCAGAGAACAGGTGATGGGAATTTCTGTGTTCCCTGCCCGTTTGTGCACTGCACCCTGGGTTCAGAAGGTCCATTGTGAAACCCACTCCCTAGCCCACACCACCCCCAACATAAATGGAGAACAGAGCACAACTGCAGAGCTTGAATCCGGAAATCAGACAACTGACGACAGTACAGGAGAGCATCAGACAACACAGAAAGCTTTATTCATCCACACGGTTCCAGAGAAAGGCAGGCTCACTTTAGTATGCTGTCATCTTGGGCTGAAAGGTTCAAAGGAAAATATTCGTGTTATTACACACTCAGGCGACCCAAAAGGACCACTTGACATGTTCGGTGCTCAACAACCCAGGATCTGGCTACAGTGGAAGCCCAGCCATGTGCTGCCTCAACTCTTGGCCCTGCACGCTCTGACTGCAGCCTGCCATGGCAGTCGGTGGGGGACGATGCCTGGTTCTGGTTCTATGGGCCTCTGAGCGTGGCACATTCCCAAACAACTCTCCTCCAACGCCCAGAGACCTGGGCCTCGCCCAAGGCAAGGTGTCACTGTGTCCCCCCACATCCACAGCCCTGCTCCATCTCTCCCTCCCCCAGAGGACCTGCTGGCCAGTGCTGGGAGAAAGGAGGCAGCTCCTACCCCTATTGCGGGGCTCGCCTGAAGCAGCACCTGTATGTTTCTAAAGCCCGGGCAAAGGACCAAACTTTCAGATACACTCAGTCCAGTACCTTCTGCCAGTTCTCTCTCAATCCGTTTCCGTTCATCCTCCTTCTTTTTCTCCTCAGCGGCTATCCTCCTCTCCTCTTCTGCCCGAGGTTTCAGGTAACCTGTGCAAGGAAAGCGTGAATATGGGGAGGTACTTTCAGTGTCTTCACAGAAACACGTAAAAGGAATTTAGTGCCCCATGAATGCCTGACCCGTGTGCTTCCCACTCCTCTCTCTCCGCGTGGGTCAAGGCCTGACTAGAGCTCAGCAGAGTGCACAACCGGGAGGGCAACTGCAGGGGACGCGCCACCTGACCAGACCTTCTCTGCTCAGCAATCTGGGCCACCCGAGGCTACTCGCATCTGACCACAACACTCCTCCAGCACTCACCTGGCACCCCAGTTTTCAACAAGAACTAGCTGCTTTCCAGCTCCCCCGGGTGCCCAACATAAGAATGCACTTTGGGTCCTGACCACCTGCGCTAATCGCAAAGCGACCTACACATCTGCTGCGGCAGTGCTCCGCGGTCAAGCTCGCTCGGGTTCCTGGGGCTGGCGCCTCCCAACCCTGTCCCCCTTCTTGCCCTTCGCTGGGGTTTACGAGGCGGCTCTGGAGAGCCCCCCCCCACCCCCCAACTCCCCGGCTATGAGAAGCCCCAGGGTTTCCCCTGCAGTCCGCCGAGAAAGCGGCCCGGCCAGCCGCGGTCACTCACTGTAGCGCTTGGCTCCGTACGCCACGCCGAGGAACAGGGCGGAGTAACGGCCCAGCTGCGGAGAGAAGTTGGTCAAAGGCAGGCTGGGGCGCAGGGCGCGGGTCCCGGGGGCGCAGGTCCCGGGGCCGCGGGTCCCGGGGGTGGGGTTCCCAGCCCGCGGGGTCGGGGCGCAGGACGGAAGTCCCGGGAGCACGCGGACGGAGAATGCAGGGCGCAGGTCCCGGGGAGGGGGTTCCCAGCCCGCGGAGTCGGGGGCGCAGGGCGAGGGCCCCGGAACCGTGGGGACCGGGCGGGGGAGTGGTGGTGATGCTGGTTCCAAGCCCAAGGGATCGGGGCGCAGAGAGAGTCCCGGGAGCGCGAGTCCCGGGGGTGGGGTTCCCAGCTCGCGGGGACCCGCGGCGCGGGGAGTGGGGGTGGAGGGGTCGCACCCGCGGGGGCGCGGGTCCCGGGTTCCTTGGGGTCACGCACGTGGAGCCGAGCACCTGGCGACGGCCGCAAACCCTGATTCACCTTGATGAGTGGGGAGACTTTCACCGGCGGCACCATCTTGCCCGTAACCTTCACGCCGGAAGCACAATCCGCGGAGGACGCTGCTAGGCCGTGAAAGCTGCGGAGCCGTAAAAACGTACAAGGGCAAACGCATGCGCCGTCAGAGGTGAACAGGGCATGGACTGCGCCCCCCGGTGGACGGAGGTGGAACGCGCCTGGCCGCTAGGAGAAGGGATCAGGCGAGGCGCGCGGCTCGCGACCAGCTGCGCATGCGCGACTGCGGGAGCAGCAGGTGTAGGTTGGGCAGTGGGAGCGGCTTTTGCCAGGGATGTGGAACCTCGGCCTACCCTCATGTTCCCTGCAGCCCCTAATGTTGTCAGGCCAGGATGATACCAATGGAGCGCGCCCATTATAAGTCCATATATTTGAAAAATATCAGTCAGGCACACGAAGTGTAAAATAGATTGTTCTCTATTCTCCTGTAGTGTGTGGGCTCTCCAGTCAGGACCAGCGAGTCGGGGAAGGAGCCTCCATTCCCGCCCCGCGGCTGGAGTGCAGCCTTCAGCCACATCCAGGCCCATGACCACCCCAGGTCAGCCACAAGGACTGCCCAGGAAGAACCCATGGTCCGGTTAGAGGTTTTGGGCTGGGAATCCGGGGTCTGTGGACTGATGTGACCTGAGTGCAGGCCCCCTTGCCCCAGGCCTCTCCCCCGGTTGGGGTGGGGGGGCTGTTGTGGCCAACTCCTCTGGACTCAGGCCAGGCTAATCATGGTGGCTTCAGGACCCATTCCTGGGATGGCACTGCCGTTTAAGGTGTCCCTTACGGCTACCGCCACCCCCCGGTCCCAGTCCCCCAGCAGAGTAGAGCTTCCTCACTGCAGGAGTCTCTCCAGCACAGGGGGCTGGGGTCTTCCTGGGAAAGGCACCCTTGTAGAGCCTGCTCCCTGGCTCCAGCCCTGGGGACCCTGCCGTCCCCAGCTCCAAGGTCCACCTCAACCAGGGCTTCAGGGACCACTGAACCTCCAGATGGACCCTCCTTCTCTCACTTCTGCTGCTCACGGTGGACGGGGGTAGAAAGCCACACCTGTGAGTCACTGTGTCCCACTATGAGTTGCTGCTGGTCTCCCCCACTTCTGAGGTTAGCCCTGGCAAAGACATGACCAGGTCAGCCACAAGTGTGCAGTGGGGCTACCCAAAGATGGAGCAGTGGTGGTCAGACAGCTTCCCAGCTGTGCTGGCTATGCTGACACATGGTTCCCAAAGCAACCAGGTTTGTGTTGGGGGGAAGGGGGCAAGGGCCTGGCAAGAGAACCACTCATCCCCTGGGCCCTACGCCGCTCCAGAAAGAAGCTCCCTGAGAACCAGAGCTTAGGACTCACTAGGGCTCCTGGTATGCCAGAGGGGAGCCCACTTTTCCTCAGTCTTCCAAACCCTCTTGTCTCCAGAGAGAATTTAACTATAAATCTAAAGGGAATGGAATGCAGAGACAAAAAACTGCATGGTACGAAGCAGTTCAGTATATATGCCTGGAGGGGAGGCCCTTCCAGCCACCTCCAGGGTCCTGGGCCCTTTGCTCTGCAGCTCGCTCTGGAGTCCTGGCTCTAGGCCTCCCGCTGAGAAGCTGGAACACCACCTTCGTTGTTACCTAGGCTGAGGGTGGAAACAGGGAGGCCCATCTTGTAGGGCCACCAGGCTCTTGTCTGAGCTCTCTGAGGACCCCTGCCTGATATCATCCATGACTGCCTCTGCCAGGCCTGGGGTTGAGGGAAGTCCTTCCTAAACCCCTCATTGCTCCCTGAGGGCGCTGTAAGCACACATGGACCCCACAAGGCACAAAATCAACCTCTTCAACCAACATGGGTGTGGTGATGCTGAGTGCACACCCCCCACTCCCACCCACCCCCATTCTTGCCCTTGAGCATCTAGGCAGATGACCTCAGCTGATAAATATGTTCTTCCTTCCCTGGACATTAAAATAAACAAGACTCCTCAGCAACTCCTGCTTCCAGAATCAAAAATAAGTGTCTCTTGGGCTGAAGGTGAGGCCAGGGTGTTGGTAGGGGACCACCTAACAGTAGCTTCCAGTGGGACAGGGTGAGGGGATTGGTAGGGGGGGACACACAGGTATACATGCCCATATACACATGGGGAAGACCCCTGAAGCTGGGGGAGACTCATTTTGGCCCTGGGCCCTTCCTGAGGGCTAAGGGGGCTCCCATCTGGCTCGGACCACAGGAACCACTGGCTGACACCTCTGCACCTGTCAGGGCCAGCTGTCTACTCTGAATCCTGATATTCTCTCTGGAGCCAGGCTCCATGGCTATCTTTAGTGCTGCCAGCCCAGGAAACCTCCCCAGGGGCTCTGCCCGTGTCTTCTGGCCTTTCCCACATCAGGGGCCTTCTGAGCACAGATCCTGTATGCCTTCCCTTCTCAGTGTGGTGGTCCCAATCCTCCAGCCCTCCTAGGGTCTCTCCAAGCACCACCGTCAAACCCTGCCCAACTGGGAGTACAGCCCAGCCCAGGTTTCCCACGTTAGTCATGTGTTCTGCCTCTGGGAATCCTCCAGGCAGAACCCCAGGGAGCTCCCAGTTCCCTCCTGGTGGGTTATGCCTCTCTAAAATCCACAGGGTGTCTGTTGTCCCATACTCAGTGCAGGCAAATGGTGGGCTGCCCCTGGGATCACAGAGGTGTCATGTGACTGCAGGAGTATGCCCCCGGGGGCAGGACCCCTGCCACGGTGGCATTCACATGTGATGTGGTTCCCAAGTGTGCCCTAGGGGACCCCTGCTGCTGATGCCTTCCCCCCAAGGTGCAGGTACAAGGGGCTCTGAGGGCTTGTTCTCTGGGTGTGAAACTACAGTCCTGAGTGCCCACTTCATTCTGTCCCCAGGCCTTCTCCTAACTCTCACCCTTTCATGCCCCTAGCCTGTACTCCCTGCAGCCCAGGACTAGGGTACCCAGCCCCTGACCCTGTGTTGACTGCTAATATCTGCCCCTCACACACACAGGCACCTAGGCCAGCTCCCCTCCCCAGACTCTGCCTGCTGGGCCATAATGTAGTTGGGAAACCTGTCTGAATGCTGGCCCAGGGCCCAACCCATCTGGATGGTCCTCCATCCCAGACATGTTACCCCCACTCTGTGCCAGGAAAGGGGCCACCTGCCAAGGGGAGAGATGGGACCCCAGTGAAGCAGGGAGGCGAGGGCACACACAGCATGCTTAGAGAATGCCTGGTCACCAGACTCCAAGGCCACTCACAGTGACTTTGGGCAAATCTAGGAAAGGTCCCCCTTCCTCTGCCTCCTGCAGCCTCCTGGGACCCTCCAGGGTCCACATGCAGGTGGCCCTGGAGAGGCACAGAAAACAGGAGAACAAGGTTCTCAGTGAGGTGCCTGGGAAGCTGGGGCCCCTGCTGAGCAGGGCAAGATGGGGGCATCTGAGTCACCCGCCAGGTGCCAGAGCTCACTCTGCACTTGTCCAGTCCCCAGGGTGACCCCGGCCTGTCCTTGTAGGGAGTGGAAGCCAGAGTCCGAGCTGTCCTGGGGGACTGGGCAGGAGCTTAAGACAGGCGACCTGGGCAGGGAGGGCACAGATCATCGCATCAGGCACATCCAGGCATGGTGAGTGTGGACAGCAGGCCACTGGGGCAGGAGTGGGTGTGAGTATGCCTGCATTTGTACAGGGTGCACCTTTGCGATTGTGTGTACATGCGTTTTGCCTGAGTGTGATTTGTGGGAGTGTGTGTGTGTGCACACGAGTTGAGTTTGTTTCTGTGTGTGAGGGTGTTAGGTGGGGAAGATCTGTGCCCCATGGCTGCCTCAGGGACATCTGCGGTTGGAAGATGAGGGTCCTGGTCTTCACACTGGAAGGGTTCCTAGACCAGGCCCGCCCACTTGCTGGCCACCTGCATGGTCCATTTGCTCCTTGGACGTCCAGGCCCAGCTGGCTCCTGGCCAAGCTCAAGGCAAGCCCTGGGTGCATGCTGTCAGGACCTGGTCAGGGCTGCCCTGGCCCAGGCTTGGGGTCCCCCTGGAACCCCTAGTGCCATGGTCCACCCATCCTCTGTGTTGTCTTCCAAAACACCAGCCTGCAGGCCCCTCAGCCTTGGTGTTCTCACGTTAGGCCAGCAGGAAGACTAAGAAGAAGGAAGGGGGGGGCCTACGGGCCCAGAGGGCATCATCCAACGTCTTCTCCAACTTTGAGCAGACCCAGATCCAGGAGTTCAAGGAGGTGAGGCTTTGCTTTTGTCCCAGGACCACTCCACACAGTAACTCCTGCCCAAGGGGTCCCCTGTGAATCGTAATGCAGTTGACCGAAAGACCCTACGTGAGCCTCACTCTGGAGCCAGTGAGAGTAGATGCCTATCCTAACATGGTGCGACTGGCCTGCGTTTCAGGCATTCACACTAATGGATCAGAACCGAGATGGCTTTATCGACAAGGAAGACCTAAAGGACACCTACGCCTCACTGGGTAGGTGCCATGGGACAGAACTCCACCACAGCCCGCCTCGGGGTGTCCTTCAGTCCTGGAGAGACTTGCTCTGCACCTGGGCCTTACAGCCTGACCTGACACCCATTTCCCATGGGCTGCAAGGTGGCAGGCTGGGCCTCCCCTAGGGAAGAGATCCCTCTGGCTCGATCAGGGCATCCCAGGGTGGGGTGGGTGGCACAGCTGAAGCACGGGCACTCTGGATGGGAGGCTGGGACCAAAGCTCCAGGGAAGCACTAAGACCCCAGAGGGACACCACTACATGGAGAGGCTTGTCCTCCTTCCCCCAAGCCTAGCAAGGAAGCCCAGAAACAGACTTGGGAGAAGATGTGGAGGGCAGCTCGTGGTCCTCTGAAGAGCCAAAGGCTGGCCCTTTCTTCTTCAACTTCCCATCTGGGGGCACGTTCTCAGCCTGAGGCAATCCCAGGGGGGGAGAACGGGTAGGTTTCTTTCCTCTGGGCCCCCTTACACTCAGGTAAGCAGATCACAGGTCTTCCTGGGCTACATGCATGACCTCTTCCTCCTCCCCAGCTGCCCATCTCCCCAGGGATCAGGGTTTGGGTTCTGCTAACATGCAGACCTGGGCCCCCACACCTGGGCCATGTGAAACCCCCCGCCCCCACTGGCTCACCTCCCTC